GAAAGAGTGAAATATCTAACTTTAGGATAAAGGTGAGTGTGCTGAGCAGGGAACTCTAGGATTAATGAGCAAGGAAACACCTATACGGGGAGAAAATCTCACAATGGGAAATTGTGGTGTTTTACTCAGGATTGCGTTGGTGGGGAACCAGAGTCCTGAAGGTAGCATTCCATGTTGAAAAGGAAGAAATAGTAGCTGCTGCATTTTTTAGGGAACCTGTTAGCGTTGGTGAGTGTCAAGCATACTCAGAATATTCCTGCTTCACAAAAGAATGACCAGTTTCCGTAGCAAAATCAGGCACAACAGCAAGTTAGCTGTTGAATGGCTCATCCCTCTCAAGACTGGGATAGATTTGGCTCTGTTCATGTGGCGAAAATTTAGAGTTAGGCACTTTAGGCAGGTGAAGTTAGATAGCTTATGGGATATTGTATTTAGAGACTGAAATTCAATGGAAATACCACTTTAGATACTGTAATTTGTCATTGTATCTGACTCTAATAGCTATTTTTATGAATTTATTCATGCTTCAGTTTTTCTTTTCATTTTAAGATAAGCATGATCACATTTTCAGAATTCAGTGAGCCATGTTCCACCTCACATTGACTCTTCGTTTGTAAAACTAATTTTCAGAGAAGATAACATAAGGTTTGCGGTTAAGTTGATGGATTAATGCATCAGTAAATACACCTATGATTCTAATCTGCATGGCTTTCTTTGCCCCCGTATTTTTGGTACCTTTCTACCATAAATGCATGTTTTTCTTTAATAATCAACGTAACTTGCAACCGCTTTGATGGAGTTTTTTTTCCCTGTACATTTTCCCAGGCTTTTCAGACCGTTGACCTCTATTTCTGTAGCAAGATCAATATATCTAAATGACATCAGACTTGTAGTGCTGAGAATGTCTTTAAAACAGTAGGCTGCGGCTTATAGATGGCTTTAAAAGTGCAATGAACAAATATCTTATTTTCTAAGCTTAATTTTTCTCCCTAAATACTTTTGCAGCCTATAAATAAGATTTTAAACTCTTCTTATAGTTTAGGAATGTATATAATGTATATATGTGGTAGCTTGTGCACAGAGCAACACTTAGAGCTAGATCAACCAGCAATGCATCAACAGATGAGAATGAATACCCCTTTTATATGTCTCGTTAACTCTCAGTTAACGTGTTCCCCGCTACATGACATCAATAGCTGTGTTAGATCTAGTTAGATACATGAATGTGTAGCCAAGGATCATATTAACCAAAATTATATCTATAATTAATTATTATTTTCCTAAATAATGGTTGGAGTGGCTACTGAGAGAGCAGCACAAGGGAAGGACAGGGTTGTATTTTCTGTAGGTCTGCCCTACACACCCACCCCAGGGACCTCGTAATAAGAACATCCTGAATAAGTTGAATCTTTGGTTTCATCCAAGTTAGCAGTTCTTATGCTGTTCCATATAGAACCAGAAGTATAGCTGACCAAAAGCAGTTTGACGTGCTCTAAAATGTTATTGATGAGGAGCGATGTATGCAAAATATTTAAAGTAAGCAATAAAGATGTGACAACCAAGATTAATTGTTCTTTTCAGTTATTTTTCAAACCAAAATTAATTGCATGTCTGTTGAATGGAATTAGATGATTTTGTCTCTGTAAGAGTAATTTAAGCCTGAAGCATTCCCTTTGTTCTTCCATATGGTCTTTTGGGTAGATTGATTTTGGCTGCAGCATGAGGGCAATGCACTCCATTAATTCTAATTTCCTGTCTCCTCAGTATCAGTGCTTTTCGTCCTTGTGGGGCAAAGTCACATACCATGGTTGCCCTTAAAAAGTCAATATTTCAGAGAAGTTTCTCATACCATGAAATTTGCAATAACTGTAGTATTTCTGACACAATGGAAATTGTTGGCATTTCAGGAATCACTGCATGGGTTACAGTGGTAAATATTTTCTTTTTAATGGTGACCAATGTACTTGTCAGAGATTATCTTATCTTCCTTCTCAAAAACGCTAATTTTCTTTTTACTAACAAATGTTTCTCTTTAATCTCTGTTTGTCCATTCACCTGCTGATCTGATGGGGGAATAAAAGCAAAACTTCTAGAAGAATGTAAGTTCCTGTCCACAAAAATCAGACTGTGTGCTGCTGAAAATTAATACCGATTGTGTTGCGAATTAAATTTACAAGCCAAATTCTGGCATTTTGTTTATAATTTGGTTTGCTGTGGCTAAATGTTTTGTGCATGCAGAAAATACTACTGTACATAAATCATTGTGCTATTTAAATGAATGAATTGTCTATGGTTTTCAATCGTATGCTGTCTAAACATTAAAATTTGTATTCAATATCAGCATGAGCAAAGTTTTACTACTACTTTCAGGAGTAAAGATGTTTGTTTAATTAATTTACGTATCTAAGTTGGAGGTGATACTTTTATTTCCTTTGAAAAAGAGTGTGTTCAGTTAATTAAGTCGGCCTAATCTTTTATGGGTTCTCTTAACTCAGCTCTAGCATCATAGTAAATTTAATGCTTGCAGTGCAGTGCAGTGCACAGTTCAGGAGTGAAGACTGCCTGTCTTTGATGTGCATCAGGCAGAATGTTGTACGTTGTACAGTGCTCATATCATATTCCTTACTTTTCCCAAGTAAGCATGTGACGTTCATTGGTTCTGAGAACTACCTCTGAGAGGGAAAAGACTTAGCTCTAGAGTGCCTCTCTAAAATAATACAAAAAAATTCATTATTCTGTAAAATATTCCCTCCCACTTCTAATCACTTTCCCCTCTGCAGTGAGGAAGAAGAGCAAACTCTAGCTCTGCGTGGCCTGTTCTTTTCTACTTCGCTATTATATAACATTATGATTCCATGATCTGAATTTTTTTTCTGGCTGCTTCGTGTGGGCAGTGCTTTACAGACCGTTGCCTCTTTCTATGTAACAAAGACTCCTTACTTAATATTTAATAATGCTTAAAATAAAAATCCTAGTTTTACAGTTTTTACTGGCTAGAATAAAAGGATGCAACATGAGAACAGAGCAATCTCTAATTTAAATATTTTGCTCAAGTGGCTAAAACAAACCCCAGAGCAGTAGCAGAGCGTATTGCCAGAGAGATTTACGGCCTTTGCACAGGGATGTTCGCAGGGATGCTAGTAACTGGTTCCTTTAGTTGACACTAAACTATAAACAGATTAATAATATTGAGGAAGACACGTTTATCACTATCTTAATATCATAAACAGGATTTTATCTAGCCAAAAAAAGTCTATAGATAGTGGTAATAAAGGATAAATTACTTCAGGTAAGTACCAGCTGCTTTGTCAGGCAAATAGATTTCATTTTATGCTGCTCATTCTAGGATGCTTCTCCTGCATCAATTCACAAAATTGACTGTTTTGTTTTGTTTTGTTTTAGGAGAATCAGTACTAGACCTTTCTCACATGATTACTCTATTTGGAAACTTCTAATTACTATTTTTTTTTACTTTGTTCTTCCTATCTCTTGGCTATTCAAACACAGTTTTTACTCCTGAAAAGTAGCTCCTAGAAGCTTGCTTTTGTAGATTAGTTCAATCTGTTGAACACAATAAATTTATAAGAATTTTACACCCATAGAGAATATAGAAATTCATCCAATGATTAGAAATAATAAATGTTGTGTTTTTTGTTATTTCTGTATGTTATAAAACATCTTTTTTGTGTGGAAATAGGTTTCATGGCTGTTTATTCAGAAATATATATTGGACTCAGAATTGAAGTGTCCTTTGACTTCATGTTTGAAATCTAATGTATAGCAAATGGTATTCATTAAACTTTGTCATCCAGATCTTAATCTGCTGTAAATTGGCATAACTCAGTTTCTAAGGTAGTAGAACTACACTGATTTACAAGAGTAGAGGTTTTCAGCCAAACTAAAAAGGATACTTTAATTCCAGTCTTTGTTACTGATCTTATTGCCAATTGCAGTTCTGCTTTCCGACTTACAAAACTGTTGCTGATGCTTTGAAAATATTAAATTCCTCTCTGTTTCTTATAATCCACAATGAAGTGTCTCAGCCTCCAACGATAACTCAGCAATCTCCAAAAGATTACATTGTTGACCCTCGAGAGAATATTGTAATACAGTGTGAAGCAAAAGGAAAGCCACCGCCAAGGTTAGTAGTATTTATTTTACTTTTGTTGGCCTAAAAGCATAGGAAAAGGAGAAGAAAATAATTTAACTTTTGTAAACTAACAAGTTTGTGCATATATGTGTACTTGCACACGCATAAACATGCATGCACCCATCCTCTGTAATTTAAACAGCTATTAGAAAGTGATATAAATTTGAGTATTTCTCAACCCATAGCCTCATTTCTGTAGACGTCAAATAACTAGTATTTTTTTCTCCTCAAAGCTCCAAAGACATAATAATACTAGATTAATAGACTAATAATAGGTAACTGCCCATGGAAAGTACTATAAAGTATACCATACTATGAATTGGATCACATTCCAGTCTTTGGCATGATGTCTAATAAGTATGCACAGTGAATAAATTCAGATTATCTTAATAAACTCAAATTCAGGACATTAACCATTTTTTCTCGTAGTATATTTCATGTTTTCTAACTCATTCAATTCTTTGAGGTTCATCTTAAAACAAATAAATATTTTGTAAGAAATTAAGAAATGTTTGTCAGTATAAATGATCAGTAGCCTTGATTTATCAGGCGTATTTTACAGCTTTAAAAAAGTTCTGTTTTTAGCAGAAGTGGTAACCCTGTGTATACAACAGGTTCCTGACTGTCTTCCATTGCAAGGCCCTGTTTCCAGTACCATGAGATGAGGAGTTCCCAAATATTTTTGCTGGGTACTTGCATTGGAAAAAGCAGTAGGAGTGGTGCATTCTGTTGTTGCTAGTAGCTGCTTCTGATTTCAGAGATTTTAAGACAGAAATGTGCATCTCTGTGTTTTCAGTAACATGTTCCAGTAAGCTACAACTTATTAGCAAGATTAGCCTATAATTGTTTGTGCAGCTCGTTAAATGTACCTCTACTCATGACTAAACAGGTTTTTTTTTCTACGTTATTCCTTCTCTTTGCCTTGAGGTCATGGTCATTATCATGCTGGGCAGCAGAATACTGAAGATGGAGATTTTCTATGAGGCCCTCACCATTTTTAAAGTTCTTTTAATAGTAGGAGTGCAATAATACTACTGTGTTTATCGGCATTTTAATTTAACAGGCATAATGCTATTCTCAAGGATCTGGATGCTGACCTGGGTGATTACTTTGTGCTTTGGGACCACTGTACTGTTTCTGCAGATGCTTCCTCTGAACTCCTTTTTGGGGTGGATTTGCATAAGTGACTGTGAACACTATTCATCAGACTCGAATACCTTAGTCGTGTGCCAGGGCTCCCTGCTCTAGAGCCTCACCGTTCTCATCAAATCTGTTTGTCACCTTGTTTCCCTGCTACAGAGGCAGGATTTAAGTGCAGAGTTTTCTAAGGAGGAAAATAGCTTGTACTTAGTTTTGCCTGTTTTTAAAGTTATCACATCCAACTGACTTATTTAAGTAAGTAACCTGGTCTATTAGTTTTTAAGCTCATCCTGCAAATGAATATTGGAATTTGAACAGCTGCAAAGCTATGAACCTGAACTTTCTCAGCCAGAATAAGTGTGAATCGTTTGTTAAAGCAGGGTGACTTTTGTATTGCAGAGAGTTCACATAAAGGTTTACGGATGAGCTGCTACGTATAGGTTGAACAGCAAAGATTCTCACTTTCAGATATCTCAAGGTCAGGGCTTAGTACCCCATTTTTCACCTCTCATTTGAAGCTATACTGTTTCCCCACATCCTTCAGTGTCATTGGTAGCTGAGGATTACAGAAACCCCACAGTCTGCAACTTCACCTGCAGATTCCTAAAGAATAGGTTCACAATTGGAGCTTGAAGGGCTCTAGTCCTCCCCAAAGCACTGTCGCTGTGTGCTCCTGATGGGGTCCACTCTCCCGCACTGCAGTGTACTAACTGTGTCCAGTCCTGCCTTCGTACTGCAGAAGGTCAGGGTGCAATTTAAGTCCCTTAAAATTTGAACTTTTCCAGTACTGCATATATTTATACTTTTAGGTAACGCTCTAACCAGTAGTCAGATGTAGTGCTCATGTTTGTATTTAAGGGTTTGAACCTGACTTGTAACAAGTACAAAATCTGCCATTCACAGTGTGGAAAACAGTGCTCAACACTTCACAGGCATTGCTCTAACTCTACGTTACTTTGTTAAAGGCCAAAAGTACAGTATAAGACAAGAATTAGTATTTACAGTAGTAGAAGTTGCACACTGTGAACCTCTACTTTTTACAATTCTATTGTAAAAGAAACTCATTAAAACTCATTCAAACTCATTAAAAGAGTTTTAATAGTCTTCATTTCTAGTGGCTCCTTTATAAAACATCTCTTACTCTAAGTAACACCAGTATAAATTTACCAGATTAGTTATGGACTATCAGACTAGAACATTTCATTAAGTGAATCAGTTGTTTGAGTTGCGGTAGTGAAAAAAAAATCAAACTCACCACGCATTCTTTAATTCACTGCAGTAACTTTAAAATGGCCAAATCTATTAAGAGACATGGTCTCCTGCTGGGACACATTTCATCCCAGAGCAAATTTTTAAAGGTAGGTTTATAAGCCCTTTCAACAGTAGGTTTTACAGTTGAAATGCTAATGAAGCTTTAGCAGTATCAGTTCTAGCAGATGTTACTGTATCATCTTTAGTAGAAAGGAAGGCAGTTTTTTTCAGTATATGATTTTGAATTTTTTAATCTAATTTTTAAAATAAAAATATTGACTTTGAAATAGCCAAGTTCTGCCAAACCTTTTATTTTAAAGTATTGCCAGATTTGTTATATTAAAGAAGTGCTCTATTACTTTCTTTGTATTGATTTAGTTTGAGAACAAATGTTCTATATAAAATACAATGTGTTACTAACAATGACTTTTTTCTTGATTCTCTCCATATGATCTGCAATAAGCTATTGAGGAAACGATTTTTATTTTTGCCTGTGTTATTGTAGCTTCTCGTGGACACGCAATGGAACTCATTTTGATATAGATAAAGATGCACAGGTAACAATGAAACCAAATTCAGGAACCCTTGTCATAAATATTATGAATGGTGGAAAGGCAGAAGCATATGAAGGAGTATACCAGTGTACAGCAAGGAATGAACGAGGAGCAGCCATTTCCAACAATATTGTTATAAGGTCATCCAGTAAGTGAAACTCTAATATTCATAAAATGTGAAAAACTTATGTTTGCTTATTTTCTTAGGGACATTTTGCTTGAATTAATCTCTTTTTTCCTTTCTTAAAAAAAGACATCTTTTTAATCATCAAAGCGATCTTCTTAGGAAGTATTATATTTAATGCATTTAATAATATATTGCATGTTCTCTTCAAAATTTCTTAGATTATTAAATACCCTGATTTTTTCAATACATCTGGATGACATATTTAAAATTGGACAGTTTATGAAACATTACGATTAGAAAAGAAAATTGTAAATCTTTAATGTATATCTTTGATTACTAAAAATGAGTAATTTTTGCTCTCTTTAATTAATGATGAACTGTTTCTATTGCTATTTCTGTCATTTTTATTTCAGATTAGTTTTTCAAGCTTCTCAGCTTAAATTGTATTGTTCTCACAAGTTTCATTAAATCAGTTATAAACTACTTAATGAAGGTCTAACTTTTTTTTTAATTGTATGCATCATTAATTTTTTTGCATTACCAAACTTCAAACTTTGCAAGATACTGTTGTAGAATCTTCAGTGATTAACAAAAATAATTTGAGTAAATTGATTATACCTTCAGTAAATCACTGTTGTAAAAAATCTTTTAAAGAAAACTTGCTTTCCTCCCAGGAAAACATAAAAAAGAACATAAATTAAATCTTTAATAAATATTATAGGAGCTAAATTTTTGATGTATATGGTTATTCTGTATTTCTGGAATTTTGTGTGCAGTTCTTCCTTAAATTCTGGAATTTACATCAATCCATAGTTTGCATACGTGTTAAAATTGCTTTCTGTAGGATCCCCTTTGTGGACTAAAGAAAAGCTAGAACCAAATCAAGTTCGAGAAGGTGATTCTCTAGTACTACACTGCAGACCTCCTGTTGGCTTACCGCCACCTATAATATTTTGGATGGATAATGGTAAGATTTTTTTTCTTTTATGTAGACTTACTATACTTTTCTCAGTTTTTCTAAGCAGTTCATCAGTGCTTCCCAAGACTTAACACAGATGGCAGAGTTTCCCTCTAAGTTAAAATTCAAAGAATTTCCCGTTATGTAGCGAAGAAAAAGCAAGCGTAATGCGGCCCGAGAGCGCGAATGCAAAAGCAGCTGGAGATCTCAGTGCACGTTTTAGATTAACGCACTGAGGAGGAAAGCGAGTACAAGGTGCTCTAGAGTAAATGTCCAAAAGACTGCGGGAAAGTTGCAAAGAGATAAGCTGCTACAGAAAGCATAATGGAAGCAATGTGGAGTCTGCAGATCATAACAATAGCATGTATATTATAGTTGAAATAAACGTGTTCTTATTTTGCTTAGCTTTCCAAAGACTGCCTCAAAGTGAAAGAGTTTCCCAAGGTTTAAATGGAGATCTTTATTTTTCTAATGTACAACCAGAAGACACCCGTGAGGACTATATCTGCTATGCAAGATTTAATCATACACAAACTATACAGCAGAAGCAACCGATTTCTGTAAAGGTTCTTTCAGGTAGGTATTGCATTACCTAATCACATCCTAATATTGTATTTATCCAGAATTTGTCTTAGTTATTTACCAACAGTTAAATAGTTTTACACTAGGGAATTTTGTTATTTTAATTCTGAGTAATAAATTAAATTATTCTATAAAACTTGGAATATAATCTCCAATTTTCTTCATATATAATTTGTTTTAAATGCTGTTGATTTTTTCCCTTTATTAGGCTTTTTTCTTTTGAAAAAATACTTTGTAAGATTTGAGTTAATGAAAATTTACAGTGTAAAAAGTAACAGTTTTGAAATGGTTTTCATGTACAAGAATACCGATTTATTATTATCATAACTATTGAAACAAATTAATCGATCATTTGATTAACTCACCATGGCCCTGTCATCACCTTTTGATTCCCAGTACTTTGATTTATCCCTCTTTTATGCATTCTTCATGGTATTCTGTTTATTTCAGTGGATTCATTGAATGACACTATAGCTGCTAATTTGAGTGACACTGATATTTATGGTGGTGAGTTACACTGGTCCCCACTGATACTCCCTATTTTGCAGTAGCATTTAGTTAACTAACTTCACCTCCATGGCTACTTAACCTTTGCTCCCTTTCCAGTTTCTAATAAAGGTGTCTATTAGTACTGGTGATAATATTTGCTTTAGAAAGGGACTGCACAGTGTGATACTTTAAAATATTTAATGTTTTACTGTTACTGTAACATAGCTCATAAAAAAAAATACCAACTTTTACAATAAATCAGTCCTTTCACACTGGGGCAGATTTTACAGAATGTCTATTTAATTGCTTCTGTAATGTGTTACTTATTTACATTTTTCCTACAATTTAACTGATAATTGGATATACTCATTATCACTAGGACTATTCTATGTCACATGCTACATCATAAGTAATAACAGTTAAGTATTTAACAAATGCATTTCACATTTAATAATTTCTTGAATGTACCATTCATTTTTAATGTGTTTCATGAGTGTAAAACTACAATGAATTAAAATCTAAACATTTTAACACTATCTGCAAAGTTAACTTGGTAGAGGGAAAATGAGTTTTGTTTGTTTATTTGAGTTGATCTTTACATTAATCCAAGTTGAATTATCTTTTTTTGCATATTGTGACTGAAATCCTCCTCAACAGGTATATATGTGTTTAGTAAGGCTGACTCTGGAGCAAGACTGATTTCATATGGGTTGAAGTTTTAGATGCCCCCCAGTTGATATTGTATGAGATAGATAATGAAATAGAACTAATGCAGTGTATTGTCTTTTTTTCTTGTCAAATTACGCTTTGCAGATACTAATCCTTAACTTACTGAAATCTAAAATATAGCAGAGGCATAGAATTTTTGTAATTCTCTGCAAGAAAAGAAAGATTTCTTTCAAGAATAAACAAGAAATAATTACCTGAATGCAGTTTAATATAGAAACTGCAGTTAGTGCAGAGGAAACAATTCATTTGGCTCACAGCTTAGAAATACCAGAGCTAATTCTCCTGAATTTTTAAAATCCTGCAGAGTGAGTCAGTGACCCTTTGTAGAGCAGAAACTGGACACATTCTTATTGCCTGTGACTACTGACTGTGTTCTTCACTCTAGACTGCTTTTTTTGTCCCTCATTTTAAAGGGAATCGCTCATGTATTAGGTTTTAAGGAAGTCACGGGAGATACTGCACGCAAATTGTTTTAAGTGTTCTATTTATGTTAATCTATGAATAAATCCTATATCCTAAGTAAACAAGAGAGAAAAGTGTTTGCTTCTGCCCACATTTTTTAGAAGGTGCAATAATTTATTGTAATGATTTAGACTACTACACTTTACAGCAGGTTAATTGTATGTTATAAAATTGCTATTGAACATTAGAGTATTTACAGAACACAGTCTGTTGTTCTGATTTTCATGAAGGCACATGAAATATAGTAGACTTCAGAAGCCAACAGAGTATCATTTCTGGCTGTCTGTTGATTGGTTATTTCTTGTGAAAAATGGTTCATAGTTATCAAATTGGAGAATAGTTTAAACTATATAGCAAGAGGAGAAGACATGACTAAACTTCACAAGAGACATCCTTCTTGGTCTAGAAAACAATGAATAAAGCATAGTGCAAAGTGGAGTGCACCTTTTAGCACTTTGGTTTATATTCCTGAATACAATAACTTTGCTTTATTTATATTTTGATGGAAACCCCATAACTTTGGGTGACTTTCAGTCTTGCAGGATGACTCAAATCAGTTGTCCCTCACACTTTGAAATAGTTCTGCTGAAGTGAATAGGAGCTGCTTAGGATTAGGGCCCTGTGTGCACCCATCAGGCTGCATAGCTGCCTGTGTAAAAATATATCAAATGCTCCCCTCTTTAATAATAAGGTTTTTCATTTATGTGTTCAAAATTATAGCATTTCCCATGTTGAGATATGATTCTATTGTGCATGTATGTCTGTGAAAAACCTAATTTATTGAACTATGTCATTGTGTAACAAGGTGATTTTTAATTAAATGACCAGTGTGCAGCAAAATTTCTGTCCAAAATGTGAGAATGGGTGTATGCATTTGATCAGTATTAAAATACAATTCAGAAATTCATTATTTTAATTTTTTCTTGTTCCAGCCAAACCAGTTACAGAGAGGCAACCGATTCTTCTAACACCAACAGGTAGCACAAGTAACAAAGTGGAACTGAGAGGAAATGTGCTTTTGTTGGAGTGCATTGCAGCAGGATTGTGAGTTACTTTTTAGCCAGTGTTTCTTTAATTAAAAATAAAAAGCCGGAGAGAAACAGTTCAGAGACACTTTTAAAGTTACCACTTTATAAGCCTAGGGGTTTTAAACTTACCGTATTACAGCCTCAGAAACAAGACATGTAAAGTAGAGTGGATTTAAGGAAGTCAGCCATTTTTGTGGGCCTCAGAGGGTTTTAAAACTGAGAACATAAATATTATGGCCTCTGCTTTCTCAGATCCCCAAGCCACTATACATAGGATTCAGGTTGTGCTAGTGTTCCTTTTCAGGACATAAGCAAGAAACATCATGGGGTTACCTTGGACACACATCTGCAGAATTGTACTGAGGACTTTGTCATCATGCGCTAATAGAATGCCTGAATCAAGCCACTGTTTTTATTCTCTTAAATTTACCACCATTAGGCCCTCAAATTATATTCAAATAGAATTGGCTCTGGTAATCTTCATGCACAGGTTTACTTTTGTTCTTTTTGCCAGCCCTGCAGTATTCAGTGACCCAAGCTCCAGTAAAATGACTGAATAAAAAAGGGAAAAAATTGGAACATTAAACAATATATGTAGCTTTGTGTCTTCAGCCTTTATATAATTTTCTTTTTTAGATGTTTCAGTGCGGGAAGCTCACATCATAGTTGTCCACAAGGGACCAGATTCAGCTCTTCCATTTGTTTAAAGCAACTATTCCTGGTTGTTGATACCATGATTTCAATTCAGCTTTCCTAAGTGTCTCTTCTATAAAATATGTGATATTAGACTTATATGGGAGTATTTGCCTTGAATCCTGGTATTTGAAAGGGGACATTTTAATCAGTAAACAACAACTTGCAATTTGTTATAATTTTAAAAGTGTATCTACATGAGTTTGGATAGCTCACCTTCTGTGGACAATGCAGAGCTTCGCCAAGATTTAGACACACTGCAGTGCCAGGTAACTATACCTGAGCCAGAACTGACATTTTTTCTGTAATTCTCATAGGAAATTTTTCTGTCTTACAGCTCTGCTGTAACATTTATGACAATCATGGAGCATTAGGGTATTGCTCATGTGAAGGACAATTGTAAACTTGTCATTATTTGGAAGCTACCTTTAAGGTGCTGGGAGCATCAGCTGACCACAGGAAATTGTATAAGTGCAATAAGATTTGAATTATATTTGTATTCTTTTGTTATCCATCAGGGATTCTAGATAGTCAGCAGACAAATGTATTCCATAATTACTGGGCCTACAAACAGATGGCCATTGACAGTGTTAGTGAAGCTTGTCATTTCCTAGAAACAAATGCTGGCATATTTTGCAGATTTGCTGGACATGCCCCAGAATCTAGGTGAAGACTCTTAATATAATTATTTTTAAAATATCTGTTGAAAAAACTGAATCGACTGAACTCCTAGTCTTCCTTTATTCCTGGTCCCTAAATACAGTCTATGTTTTTGCTTCTCCAGACCCACACCAGTAATCCGCTGGATTAAAGAGGGTGGGGAACTGCCAGCCAACAGAACATTTTTTGAAAACTTTAAGAAAACTCTCAAGATCATAGATGTTTCTGAAGCTGATTCTGGAAACTACAAATGTATAGCAAGAAATATATTAGGTTCTACTCACCATGTCATTTCAGTAACTGTTAAAGGTAATAATAAAATAATCCCTAATTTAATAGTATCAGCATCCAAAATGCAAGAATGAATTTATTCTTTTTGAAAAGCTTTCTAGGATAATCTATGGCTGCAAGAGTGAATGATAGTGGTAAAAAAAAAAATGTGAGGAAGTGATCATTAAACCAACTAATTTTTCCATCGGAGGGACATCTCTCTCTAACACATCCCTATTTTAATTTATCTTATCAAGCAAGAGACTAAGTTGAAACTGTGTTGTAATAACTGTAAAATAATTTCTTAGCTTGTACCTGTGCTACATTTACTTTAGATCCTTAGATTACCTGTCATTAGTTCTTCTTTCCCTTCTTTTTTATCTCTCTCCCCATCTTTCTTCCGCAGCTTCTCTTTATTTTCTTGATCTTTTCTACTCTCCGTTAATATAGCCCTAATTCTTTCTCTACTGTATTTTTCTCATTTGTCTATTTGTCTCATGTTGCTATATTTTAATTCCTTTTTCTCTCCTAATTTACATTTCTGTCATTCCACCTCCTTTATGGTTTTTACCACTTGTATCCAATGATGATATCTTACTAGTTCTAAAATACAATATGTTGGTCTAAATAGGACCTGTGGGTTATGTGCTTTGAACATCATAAAAGAAAATATTTGGGATGATAGCTAATTAGTCTTTTAAGTAATCAGCTGTAGTGTTCATTTTGCATGCTAAATATCTATTTTTATTAATGTAATCTTTTTGTAGTCCAAGTTGTTTTTACGGTCAAATTCTAAGAGTAGAGATTTCATTTTCTTTTTGCATCTATCCATCAATCTAAAATCTGAAATGTAATTGCAACATTTGATAACATATGCTATTTGTGGTGGATTATTGTACAAAAGGTGATGACACAGATGACAACCTTTCGTTCATCCATTTTGATACCTTTGTGTTTTTCAGCTTTCTTAGCTAAAGGTCTGGCCCTACTACAGTCGCCCATTGAATTCAGAGGCCAACGATTCTGCCATTTCTAAGTTTCACTCTTGACATTAAATCAATTTGCATAATCTAACCTAACTCCAGTTCTATCAGCCTAAATACTGTAACCATGGATATCTCTGAATTTAATCAAAACCGCACTCTATCTGCTGTGAATGCCATAGTCAAATAAGTTTTGCTTTCTTTAGGAAAAGCAAATTAGACTGAAGACAGGTAACACTCTTAAGCAAAGAGAGAATCTCCTTACTTGTCTCAGAATTTTGAAGTAAACAGCTACCCCCTTTTTCAGCGCAGTGGGTGGTCAATAGCTCTGTTTAACCAAAGTGCAATTTTACCAGATAATTTTTGAGTATCACATATGTAAAAAAATTAACAATGTGAGTGTATATCTAGAGCTATATATGCTTTTTTGAATTATTTTATTGTTACAGTGACTGTACCATATGGTTTTCTATATATCAGTTTGGAAAATGATTGCTGTGTTTCTCTTCCTAACTCCAGCTGCCCCATACTGGATAACAGCGCCCAGAAACTTGGTCTTGTCTCCTGGAGAGGACGGGACGTTGATTTGCAGAGCCAATGGCAACCCAAAGCCTAGTATAAGCTGGTTAACAAATGGCGTTCCCATAGCAAGTAAGATTTTTAATTATCTTATAGGAGGATAAATAAGGGAATATGAGGAATGTCAGCTTTTTCTAATGTAACTGAAGACTATATATTTGAGTAGTTTTAGCCTGAAGGTTAATACTAAATTATAAATGAGATGGTAAAAATGCTGGAGTTCATAAAGATGGAAAGAGAAAATATGCCTTTGACGTGCTTGAGAGCATTAGAATTTGTGAGTGCACACCTGGTTATCCCCTCTGGTGTTCTGCTAATGGTATAGCTGCAGGGATGGGATCATAACAACCAAGCTATGCCATATTCCTTTGACAGGGATATTGTTGGGGTAAAATTTCTATCATTGTGTTGCTTTGGCAGTCACGTGTGCTATCTCATTTGGTGCCAGTTCTTTGTCTAAGAATTGAAAAGGTGCCCTAAAAGGTTAGGCACTGAGGTGTACAGAGCACTTTTGCAGGTTTAGAGCTTAGAATATGTTTTAGCCATCAAGGCTTAACCCTAAAAAGCAGTAACAAAACTGACTGGATGTGTCAGCAACTGCCTGGAAAACAGCTTGTGCTAAGTAGGTGTCAAAGAAAAGGAACGCCCAAGGCAGTGAAGCAGCTGTTTCTCTGTATATGGATAAGAAAAGCAACCCTGAATTGGTGATTGAGTCACTTAACTGATAAACTGTTTACAGCCCTCCTGACTGCTAACATCTTCTGCAACTAATAATGAGATTCCCTTTTGCCCTGTGTTGCTTCCTTGTCAATGCCATAGGACATGCTGACAAACAAGTACATCTTCCAGGAAGCAGTGATGCGTCTTGCATCCTGGCAGGATAGCAGTAGAACATGAAGAAATATGATGTTTTCAGAAGCAGTTGCATGATGCCACCAAATATTAGGGCATCCACTTCCCAAATATTAGGGCAGCATATATTGGCTGACTCGCCAGGAGGAATCAGTATGCCAAAGTCCGATGGAAGAGAACTCAGTAAAAATTAGGAGACTTTAATGAAATTACCCAAGACAGGAAAAAGATAATTTGGTAGCTTAGCCTTGTGTAAAAGGTCACCCACTACTAAGCAAGACTGAAGTCTTATCCACTTTAAATATTTAAGTAAAAGTTTACTGGATGCTCCAGTACACTGAATCTGTCAGGGCATCTAAGAAAGAGAAGCAGCATAATCACAGAAAATGCAGTTCTTATGAGTCCTGTGATTCTGTAATATTCTGAATTATCAAAAGCTGGTCTGGAGACTCCTAAGTACAGTGTACTCTTTTGTTCACTTGTTACTAAGTGATAAAATTGAGCCCCTGTTCTTCCAACTGAATTATTAGTAAACTGTAAAAGGAAACTAAAGCAGCTGTTTTGGCTTCAGGGCAGTGCTGAGAGAGCAACACCCATGGCAGCATTTCAAAGAAAAAGAGCTACATTTGAATTTCAAAGCCCTGCTGTCATCATACATCTCACAATGTGCCTCCTGTGGCCTAGTAATCTGTTTGCAATACTTTAATTTTCTATTGGAAAGCATAACTAGGAGATGCTTAATTCTTCCAATTTTGTTTCTCCATAATAGAGTCAGACAAGGAAGGGAGAATGTTAAAGAAAAAAACATTTGTCTATATCTCGGTCAAAGGGTGAGGCTTAAACACCAAAAGAGGAAAGAAAGAAGGAAAAGGGAGGAAAGATGAAGAGCAGCTTCATAACAAAATAAAGAAAAAATATATATTTTGACTATCTGTGAAAAAAAGAGCAACGGTGTACATTTTGCCAGATTGTATTATCCAGACTACAAACATTTTTGAAGGAAGATTTTAGGTTCCTTTTCAGTCTTTTAATTCATTTTCATCAACAATAATACTTTAAAAATGTAGTTCGAATTTACAGCAAGCTATTTCAGATCCTGGAGTGATAAGGACCTAACCTTACAATGTTTACTCACAGGAGTAATTTGAACTTACATGCATAGTCCCACTGAGGTCAATTAGAATTACTTTTGCAAGCAGCAATTGAAAGTTCAGGCCATGACTCTGCTTTGCCTTATGCTTCAATTAACGTTCAAGTTCTGCATTATTTATAGTGCTGCATAATCCGTTGTGTTTTACTGCTTAGATAGTCAGCATGGTTTTACAGAAGGGAAACCATGCATAAAGTATCTCAACTTTTAAGAAAGTAACAACCCAGAGTAATTGGGAAGGGGAAACACTTTCATAATTGGACTTCAGAAAGGCATTTCAAATACTGCACAAAAGACTAATTTATTGGTTCAGTAGTTTTGGTTCATGGTGAGCTATTAAATATTAAATACACACACTTAGATTTAGACAAAGTAGTACACTGAAAAGCTCTGTTTGCCTTCTTTCAACATGTCCTTTGCTTGTTTATATCACATTTCACATTAAAACTTAGTTTTTAGTTAGTCTCCATTAGTCTCACATTGAATTTAAGAGAAAAACATTAGCTCTTAGATTTGCCTCATGAAAGGGCTTGATAATCCCTGTCTGAGAGATTTGTCATCCATTGCATTCCTTGCAAGTACACACACAGGCTGTTCACCACAGCCACGGGAGGGTGGGGTGAAATCTACTGGACTCTGATGCCCCGAGAAATTCAGTCTCAAGGAGGAGCGAGCTGCCAGGACAGGCATTTATCTGCCACTTCTGCTGTCACTGTGTTGGAACTATGCATCTGGCCTAATAACTGTAGTAGATACGAGAAACTTTGATACTCAGTTGTATGTATCATGTGTAAAATAGTCAAAGGACAGTTGTGGCTAGTGCATAGAATAGAGAGAGATGCTGCAGGTAATAACCTGCTGTCCCTTTTGGAGTTAATAGTACTGTCAAAATCAGAAACTTGCCTGGAACAAGGATTAGAATGATCTCAGGAAACTATTTTTCTGACGAGCAGGTTAGGTTAATAGAAGGAAAAGGACATCTTCCATGTCCCATCTCTTCCAAAATTAAGTCTGACAGTTCTCTGTAAGGGGTAGAGTAAGGCAAAATTGGATTACATTACTAAATCTCTTTTTTCTTGTTTAGTTTCCGTCTTGGTTTTGCTGTATAGTTTCTGAAGTATGTCTGCTGCACTACACTTGTGCCCACCTTTGCTATTTCACTACCTGTTTTTGTCCTGCCTGTATTCAACTCTGAAACCAAAACTGAAGCCTCTGCCGGGTCAAAACTTCTACAACTTTTCTGCATATATCACTAGATCAGTGTTCAACTGCACAGAAATACATCTGTAGTTCTATGTGACCATGAAACTTAAAGCCAAGTAGGGTAAACCATTGCTTAAATGGCCCTCCTTCACCTTATCCTTCCTTACTCTTCTCTCCCCCAGCTTCCCTCAAAAGGCAAAAAAAGGATTCTAGTCCCATAATGTTCTCTAAATACATAATATGCTATTTTGGCGATATGATCACAGATCTGAGAGGACAGATTTGTCTTGCATAAGAACCCTGAGCTGGGTTAACTGGATGCTCATTCATAGACATTACAGTAAACCAGGAGTTCCCCGCATTAGGGACATATCTTCTTACCAAGCCACCTCAATGACTACGCACTGGAATGTTCCTCCCAGTTTTATTGGTTGGTTGGTTGGCTAATAATGTTAAGGCCTGATCCTATCACACTTTTCTGCTATTTCAGCTAATTAATCTAAAAAGCAAAAGTCCAACATTATACGAATAATTCTATAAAACCCCATCTCAATCACTCATTTCCACAGAAGGACTTTTCTAGCTTTGAGAACGGTTATTATATTCATAAATTACTCATGAACACGAGCTTTTGGAAGAAGAAGCAAGCCAGGAAGAACGATAGATTAATTTTCAGCAAAAGTTACTACAGTACACATGACTCTGTAATCCTTTCAGAACTTGAAAAGCATACGTGAGCATCACTAGATGAGGACCATATGTTTATATGTTTCCAAATTCATATCAAGGGGGGAAAAAAAACTATTGTCTTTGCTTTCTTAATTTTTTTTCACAATCGCAGGGTCGTCAGAGCTATTCCTGAAGTTAAAGTTGTTCGAAATCATGTCATGAGCCATGGTTGGTCTCAGCCACCAGTTTACTTTCACTGTTATCTGTGCATAAACTTAAGGAAAGAATTACAGTAATGGTAGAATTATGACAAGCATTCAGTATGAAAATCTAAATCAAATAATCGTCAGTGCTTCTTTGAAAAACAATATTTTCCTATTGATGCAAAATGATACCACAACTCAGCTTTACTAAAGAAAGACTGACTATGCACTATAACACTTAAACAACAGACTTTCTGTTATTACATTGCTGTCAGATTTTGAGGGGTATTGTGTAGTTCTATAGTCCAAAACCATATTCTTCATAAATTTGAAAAGCTGAAAATTACTCTCTG